AGAGAGGGATTCAATCAAGATCAAGGGAGGTACTAATACCACTCTATAAAACCTAAGTAAGGCCACACCTAGAATACTGCATCCAGTTTTGGTCACCACATTATGAAAAAGATGTTGAGACTCTAGAAAAAGTGCAGAGAAGGGCAACTAAGATGATTAGGTTACTGGAGGCCAAAACATACGATGAACGGTTGCAGGAACTGGGCATGGCTAGTCTAGTAAAAAGAAGGACCAGGGGAGACAGGATAACAGTATTCCAATATTTGAAGGGCTGCCACAGAGAGGAAGGGGTCAAGCTATTCTCCAAAGCACCTGAAGGCTAGACAAGGAATAATGGATGGAACTGACCAAGGAGAGATTCAACCTGGAAAGAAGGGGAAATTTTCTGACGGTGAGAACAATCAAGCAATGAAACAGAAATTGCCTTTGGAAGTTGTGGGAGCTTCATCACTGGAGGCTTTCAAGATGAGACTGAACTGCCATCTGTCAGAAATGGTTTTGGGTCTTCTTGGGCAGGGGTTTGGACTAGATGACTTACAAAGTCCCTTCCAACTCTGTTATTCTTATTTCAATGGTAGACTTTTGCAAGGTGAATTCACCTCTTCATGATCATCTCGTCTTTCTCCAATATCTCATCTACTTTTAATTTACTTTAAATAGAGTGAAGTAACACCACCACCACCAACAAGGCAGAATAGCTAAGGACATTCACGCTCCTCTTTTTTTTACTGGCATCTATTCAAAAACCATAGGGATGTAACCTCTGCCCTATTTGGCAACGCATGACAGATCAAGGCATAGAAAAAGGAAGAGGTTTGCATTCAACACTATTATGGCTTGATCATTCTGTGAGATGGAATGTGCATCTGGAGAAGAAGTGGGGAGGGTGGGATTCCCAGCGATATCACCGTATTTCCCCAGGGAAGAGGCACTACATTCCAGGCAGAAGCCCAAGTTAAAAGATTGCAAGCTAGATGGGGAAAAGTGGGGAGGGAAGAGATTCAGGGTAACCACACCCTAGAAACTCCCAGACTATACAGTATTTATTAGGTTTGAAGGTTATAGCTTTAATCTGTCAAGATTCCGTCTGTTATATGTAAGCAAATGACTGGATTTCATAGTGTGGTTTTTGGGCTTGACTATTGAGCCTGACACTCTGAGAACTCTTGACTCCCTCTCAGCAAATATTGATGGATAATTTCTCCTCTCCCTTCCCATTTTTAAAATACCTTCATCTTCTTCATGTTTTAAAATCAACCTAACACTAGTTTTTTTAAGTAGAAATTACCAGTACTGTAGTGGAGTAACGGCAAATCTAGACAGCATACTAAAAAACAGAAATCACACTGCCAACAAAAGTGTGTATAGTCAAGGCTATGGTTTGTCCAGTTGCAATGTACAGCTGTGAAGGTTGGATCATAAGAAAGGCTGAGTGCCAAAGAATGGAGGCCTTTGAACTCTGGTGCTGGAGAAGACTCCTGCGAGTCCCTTCAACTGCAAGGCGATCCAACCGGTCAGTCCAAGAGGAGATCCACCCTGATTACTCTTTAGAAGGACAGATCCTGAAGAGGAGACTCAAATACTTTAGCCACCTAATGAAAAGGAAGGACTCCCTGGAGAAGAGCCTCATGCTGGGAANACATTACCTATTTCCTTGGCTCAGCAGATAAAGGAGGAGAATCTTGTGGCTTAGTGGTTAACACAACTGCCTAAGATGTAATACAGCACAGGTTCTACTTTCCTATTATTATTATTTTCTATTTCTCTTATTTTTCACTTAAAATTTGTATTGTATTTACTTGGTGGAAAATGACTTTTATTAAAGACTCCCCCGCCCATAAAATAAAAATAATGCAAAGCTTTTTAATAATTTTAATAAAAAATATTTCTGTGAAGGGGAATCAAGCAGCATACAAGTTTAATAAAGTATTAGTATCTATTCTTTTGTTTTAGCAGGTCAGATGATACAGCTGTGGAAATGCAGTAACTTTGGGGGATTACAGTTAATTTCATCACAAATAACAGATGAATTCAATTTTTGTCCCCAAATGTGGGACAAAATAACTATCAGATCAAAAAATGAATCTCTGTTACTTTTGTACAACAGAAGTGTGACTTTTTGCTAAGTGTCTTCAATAATAACTTTCAAACATAAGTTTTGCATTTTATTTAAACAACAGTGTTTTGCTTGATTTTCTTTACACAATGAATGTTGGTGTTTGTTGCTTTTAAGTGTTAACTTGTTTTACTGTGATGGCTTTATTTTAAGACCGGTTTAGCGCTCTCTTACAGAGCTAGTTCTTACATTATGCTAAGCAGGTGATTTTCTTGGCTTTGATTCACTCCGTTGCACAAATTCACCTGCAGGGGGTAATAACAATGGTTTATGGCTTAGCAAGTTATGAGAATCCAGCCAATTACTGCTGAATCACCAAACCACAATTAAGCAGTCGTGTCTTTGCATCCTTTATGAACTTAATCACTGACAGAGGAAGAGAGTGTAGAATAATCTCTAATATTATTTTTTCTCCAAAACAGTGGTTCTCAATGGTTTCTTCACCACGGACTCCCTTTAAATACCGTTTGTGGCCACAGACCATGGCCATGGACTACCAAGACTTAACTCAAGATTGAAATCATAATATTTCTTCAAGCCTTCGTGGACCCTCCGTGATGACATCACAGCTCTCCAGATATCCCGTGGACCGCAGGTTGAGAACCACTGCTCTAAAACTTTACATTAAAAGCATTAGAGAGGGTCCAGAGGTATTTTACAAGAAGGACTCAAACTCCTCTGCTTGTAATAAAATTCCTTCTACCACCAGGCTTGAAATTTTAGGTCTAGATAACCTTGAACTACGCCATCTACATTCCGACCTGAGCTTAGAGCACAAGATAATCTGCCATAACGTCCTACCTGTTGATGACCACTTTCACTTCAACTGCAACAACACGAGGGCTATCAATAGATACAAACTAAATGCAATCCATTCTAATCTTGATTGCAAGAAAAACGATTTCAGCAATAGAGTAGTAAATGTGTGGAACACCCTACCCGATCCTGTTGTTATTTCCTCTAACTCCCATACCTTTTATCTTCAGCTGTCTTCCGTGGACCTCACACGTTTCTTAA